CGTGGGTCGAGAGGTGCTCAGAAGGCGAGTTCTCCTTGGTGCTGTGACGCTGCTGAGGCCCCCGCTCATCCTTTGTGTGAGCCTGAAGGGACATGCTTGCTGCACTGGGCAGGGGAAGATGGAGATTGGGTTTTGGCCTTTGGGTTCCAGGCTGATTTTGCCATCMTTTTGCTTTGCCACCATTTTCTCTTCCCGCTTGCTGCTCCTGCTCTGAGCCTGAAAGGACAGGTGGGGAACAGCTTATAAAGGACCAATCCCCAAAGCCAGACTTTGCTGCATTTTATGCAAGATAATAAAACTGTCTTCTGCCTTTCCTAGGGCTGAGCTCACTTCAGTGCATGAGAATTCAGCTGAAGTGCCAGGATGTGACAGGACTGCAAAAATGTCATCCAAAATGTATGACATTTGGAGCTAGACTGTCAATGAAAGTCACTAACATCACCTGAATAAAGAGGATATATTTGTTATGAATGTAGGAAAAAAAAAAATATCGGTTATATTTTCCAAACCAGTTACTTTAACAGAAAGTTGAGCATTATATGGGAAAAGCACCTATGTTTGTAGAGATGTGTTGAAAGCCTCCCTTCCAGCCCTGTAATAATGAGAATCAGAGAACATTTTGAGACTTACACACTAAGACTCGAGAAAGGCTCAAGAAGCTCTGTCAGAATAAGGTGTCCCTGCTATGACAGAAGTGAGCGAATTGTTTTATTTCTGAATTACCTGAGTTGCAGTGATGTTCCTTTTGGGTTTGGCAGCAGTATGGATGCTAGCTACTGGATCTCTSCTCTGCCCTACACACTGCTATGGCTACTTGATCCTTCTTTTAATTACAATCTTTCTTCCCTTCTGTGCTGTAATTTATTGCAGGCTTTTCAAAGTTGGCTGTACACAGAATCTAATGGTTTGCCTGTCACCTGTGAACAGAAAACTGTTGTCATCTGCTGWGATCTTTCATTGACATTGCACAGTGAAGGCATTTATCTTTGGAGCCTGCATGGCTGTCTTCCACCTCGATAACAAATGTATCTAGTGTGTGTTTATAAATAAGAAGTTAAACTGTGTGATGCTCTTCGGGGTACACTTTTGCATATGAGAATCAGAGGCATTTCGCTGCCTAAAAATAAAGGATTTTCTGAAGGTCTTGGAATATGTGAGGTCGAAGTACAGCTTGGACATTGATAATGAAAAAAATTTGTGACAGTGTTTTATCTGAGCTCTGTTTCATGACATGAAACAAGCTCTTACTAATAGCAGTTATATAATAAACTGCATTTTTTTTTTTTTTTTTTTTTTTTTTTACTGTCAGTATTGTTCAAAGTGGTGGAGACAATTGTGGTTTTAACTGGGCATTTGTATGGTCAGCATTGTGTGTTTAGTTTGAAATTGTATTATTTTAGCAAGTGTTTCCCAGAGACTTCATGTGGGTGTCACTTGTTAATAATGTTTTGAACCTTGCAACTATTAATCTGATAAAGATTAGAAAGCAAGTTACTTTAAATGGTAGTTCTCACTGGCATTTGGTCTCCTTTAGATGTATTTCTTCCTAGCCCGAGTAGAGTTGATCTACTGTGAGGAGTTACAGGCTCTGTGTTCACAGAACAAAAGCCAGTGATGTCTGTGCACAGTTGGCTTTGTTAGGATTTACTGCTTCCATGTCTCCTGTATTTGTATTCAGTGAGCATTTGCAAGTAGTTGCTTACATTTAAAGAATTACATTTCGAGATACCATTTAAGGTTTTTTTTTTTTAATCTGCATGTTATATTGTACATGATAAATACAAGGAAAGCACTGGAGATTTAAGAGGATGAGAGATTTGAGTCAATCACTTGAGCTTCAACTTAGTAATGCAAATCTGGTTTAAAGTGACCTTATTGATGTTTGCTCAAAGCAGCTTCTTTTCGGTACAAATGACTGAGCTTTGTTGCAGCTATTGTACAGGTAATGTACTGTCCCTTTAGAGATTGCCTTTGTATCCCTGATGCAACCTCTCTTTGCTTTAACAGAGAGTGCCTGCAGAAATGCCYGGAGCTAAGATAGATCTCGTGTGCCTCATTTGATCATCTGTCAGCAGAGAAGCGAGAGGATAGGGCAAGGAAAACGCGAGCCCCTTGCTCTGTCCCGGCTCTTGGAAATTTGAGGGGTTGGCTGTTGGTGAAGGATGCTTAAGTGGAGAGCTTGATACTGGAGAATGAAGGGCACGGCAGCTTGTGTGAAAGGATCCTGGCAGCTTCTGTGACTTCACCTTGAGGAGTGAAGGTTCCAAGCTTAGGGTGCGAGGGGGTGGCGGGATTTTGGGCAGTGCTGGTAGGGCGGTGCATGTCCTGCAGAGACAGCATTGCACAACAAACAGTGCCATCTTCTGGGAGGAGTCGGAACGATGACCTTGTGGTCAGTGTTGCATGTTTTTGAAGTGGTGGCATTGGTTTTTTGTTTGGGTTGGGGTCTCTTCTATCCAATAAATGCTTTAAAAATCAAAGTACCAGAAGCCTAAAGCCAATGTTAATGTCTSGTAATGCAGGTCCACTACACTTTAACACATGCATCTCTGATTTTTTTACTGGTACAGGTTTTAAGGRAAATAGTTAAGCTATGTTTTGGGGTCTGTTTAAAAGAAGGAAAGTTGAACTGCTGCTGAGCAGTAGTTTAGGAAAGTAAATCTCAAAAATAAAAGTTAAGGCCTTGGTCTACTTTGTTGGATTAAGTCCTCTGCTATTTCCATAAACATATTTTGTAAAACCTAAGTAAGTGCAACGTCTTTTCTAATAGAAAGCAGTAGTGACCTATTGGAAAATGTTAAAATAAGAATGATTACTTAGACTCATATCTCCTTCTTTTGACCATGCCAAAAGGGTWAAAATATTTTCTGTCTCTAAATTATTGTCCTATAAATAGTCGTATTGAGAAATATTCACTGTGGTGCAAAATCTGGGATTAGGGTTACTAAAATTGTCCTAGCAAGTGGAATGTAATATTCAGCATTTACCGAGACTCATTAATGGTGTAGATCAATCACCTAAAGGTCTTATTTGGAGGAAGTGAGCAATTTTAGTAACATTAATGGAACTATATGGGAGATGCATCTGACATTGTGAGGAGGTTTTCTTGTTGCACATTTTCAAATAAATAAATACATGAATGCAAACAAAAAGTAAATAACGAAGTACASCTTACAGGGGGAGGGAGAAAGATTAATCAATGTATTAAAAAAACCTTCATTGCTAAAATAGCTTTGATAAGATATATCCAGAATGACAGAAATTTGTAAGCCCTGGATAAGGAAATAGATTTGGAATTGGTTTTATTGTGATTGCCTAGGTAATTTACCAATAAAGATGCAGTGGGAAAAACAGTTTCTTAAAAAAAGAGGATAAAATTATTTTGCATGTAAATTGTAAATCTGTTCTGTGTTGTGTTAAGATTGCTAGAATTGGCACATTTTCTATTCCAAAGGGTCTATGGGCCCATGCTGTCTGACATTTCTGGATGGTACAGTACTTAACTGTGCAATTAATTTGTAGCTAAAATGGTAATTGAATGTATATTTACTTTTTTARTATTAGTGTTCAGCTTATCCTGTCATACAGTATTCAATATGTAAGGAAAATCTCTAACTTTCAGTATATTCTGTATGTTTCCTATGTGGTAATCTTGGTATTTATGCAAGTCCTCAGTATTACAGTTAGGACTTTTAATTTCTGACATTTGAAAGGAATTCAGCATTGACCCATCTTATCATGTTGATTTTGAGTTTTTGGTAAAAATCAGCTGCTTAGACTTTCCTTTGCAAGGGGTTTTGGCCCCTGAGCCTACCTCACAATAAGTACTGTATTGGCTTAGGTAAAATTTGAAAACTTAGTAAATTGCTGAAATTATTGAAAATTATTAGTAAATTACTAATCTGTAGTTTTGGAGTAGAGTATGTATATATAATAAKCTTACTAATTTGGAAAATGCTGTTCCAAATATCTGGAAAATACTGTGTGAATAGATAAGTAAAAATTAAGCAATAGTTTAGCAAGGAAGAATGCAATGAAGCTCACAGCAAAGCTGCCCTTTGGTGTGTCTGACACAGGAATTTCAGCAGTGACATTCCATACAAGAGGCAAGGTGGTAACCTAACATAATAGACATTGACCATCCTTCTTGAGTTTCCTATATCATAATCACGTTCTCTCTCAATAGAGTGTAGAATAAACAAATGGTAGTGTTTATGGAAAGACAGATCAGAAATTATCTGGTCTTAAAAATGAAATTATACTATTAGAAATGTTTTTGTTACTAACTGAAAAAATGAGCATTTTTCTATTGAACACTACCTAGTGTTTATGCAACCTACATGATACCAATGGAGTAGGTAACTTCAGGGAAGTTKTTTTTATTGAAGCCAAACTCAGAGTAATGTACACTGTGTAAATAGTAGTTATATTCTCATTGGAATATGTGTACATGTGCCAGAATTWGGAATTCAGCCTTGGGGCAGTTGTCAATAGGCTGTCTGGAAAGCTGCTCAAAGATTGTTGTTTATTTTTTTGTTTGCTCCACCACCCCCTCCCCCCCCCCCCAGTAGTCAATATTGACTATAGTGGAGCAAATTGCAATAAATTGCAGTGCTTAAAATTTGTGATGCCTATTCTTCCTCTGGCCCAATAATACAGTTTTGTAAAAGATAACTTTAGGAATGAAAATATGTTTGAGAAAAAAATACCTTAAATGATTTCTAGCAAATGCAACTTATGTTTAATGCTTTTTATAATTCATGTTATGAACCTTTACCAAAACTCTTTTAAGGTATTTGTCAACAAGATTTAATGGTAGTCAACAGGCAACTTCCACTTATTTTTGTGGAAAAGTTAACAAAGCTTGCTGCTTTTGTGACTAATGGTAAACAGRTATTTTTGCTTGGTTAAAATTTGGAACAGTTTTATTCTAAATCCCTTAGATCTTKTGCTCTAGTGAACTCATAATCCTGACCTTCTTCCAATTTTTTCATACACAGGCAGAAGGAGAAGACAGCCTTAAAAAGATGCAGCTGATGGAGCTTGCAATTCTGAATGGCACCTACAGAGATGCCAACATCAAATCACGTAAGCACCTCATAAGCTYGAGGGTCAATGCCATAGAAGTGTTTGCAGGTTTTGAATCTTAAAGCTACCTTTGGAAAATRTACAGTGGCTACTTATATTAGAGAATGAAAGGCAGTAAGAGCCCAACAGAACTCTAGGTAGCTTTTGCAAAAGATCTGTGGGGGATAAATTATGTTAGTTTGGGTTTGGGTTTGGTTTTGGTTTTTTTTTGTTTGTTCGTTTTTTGGTTGTTGGGGTTTTTTTTTTTTTTTTTTTTTTTTTTTTTTTTTTTTTTTTTTTTTTTTTTTTTTTTTTTGTTTTTTTTTTTTTTTTGTTTTTTAAGTTTCTTTTTTTTTAGTTTTTTTCCCCACTCATCATTTTTTTAACAATATGCATGGGTTGAAATACTTACAAATATCTAGTATAAAAAACCTCAACCCTTAAGCCGGATTTTTCTGTTCTACAGTCATTTTTTCCTTAATGCATATAAAGGACAATAGACTCCTTTGCATTTTTTAGAGATTCAATTTTAAAATGTTACAGATGTTCAGGTTACTGTGAATACATTTTTCTGTATTATATTCCTTCCTTTCATCTTGCTTGCATGTGTACCCCCAATGTCATGTTTTACCAACAATTCATCAACTGATTTCACAGCTGAGTTCACAGGGATCAGTGATGTAATGAGCCATTTTTACGATTATTTCCATTACATTTGTGTGAAAATGCTTTTGCAAAGGCATGTATGCACAAGTTTGCACTTGAGAATTAATTACATGCACYTACTAATGAAAGCATATACCTGTTACGTGTGACACAAATTGTTTTCTTCAGTTGAAAATCTACTATCTCCTCCTGAAAACGTGGTTGCTTTTGYTGTAGCTGTGGTGCAGATGTCAACTGTAAGCACAGTTAAATCAGTCTTTTCACTACAGGCCTACTGATATTTGCAAATTTGTGTCTCCACACAGTCCCCATTTCAGTGTTGAATATGTTYAAAGGTTGGAATGCAGTTAGGTCAATTTGAGAGTGCTTACAACAGTGTAATTATTCTGATTTGAAAAGAGACATAAGCAAGGGCTTTTACCACTGCATGGATAATGATAAATCTTTTCAGCCCTAATGACACTGTGATATTTAAAGCTATATCAGTTTTAAATATATAGTTGCCTCTAAATTATTACAAATTTATGAGTAAAATAGCTTCCGGAATAGCTTAAATTGATGCAAACAGTAGCACAGAAAACTTTATTAATTTGAGCATTTCTTTGTCTGGTCTGTTTCCATTGGCCTATTTTATCAGTGTAAGTGGGAAGATGGGATTTTTTTATATTTTTTGGCTAGAGTTCGCCGCATTAATACCTGTTTTTTGATAATAGGATAGTTTCACTCTTTGTGTTTTGATTTTACTGGAAAGTTGAAGATGTAGAAGCCGTACTGCTTTATTTCGGTTTAAGAAAGGACATTTGAGTGCCTTTTTAAAGTCRTCTGAGCATTTTTGTTTAAAAAATAAAAAAAATTAACCCATCTCAAATGTGAAAAAACTTTTCTCTTTTAAGGCCACCTGTAAGCTAATTGAATCAATAGATCAACAATAGTGCATAGAAATACATAAATTATAACCCTTTAAGATTGACTGGTACCAGCAGATGTGTTAGTGGTTAAGTTGTTCATCCAGTGTGCCAACACGCTTCAAATAATACTTAATGAAATGTGCCAGCACCACTTCAAAAAACAAACAAAACCACCACAAACAACCAAAAAAACAAACCAAAACAGAAAAGTTAAAACTTGTTTCTGTAACTGAAACAAGGCCACAGTGCACTTCTAATACAAAGGAAGCATCTTATTTGGGGAACTTTGATATGAAAACAAAATTTGAGTTTATTTTATTCATGTTAGGGTAAGACAAGAGGTATTCATGTTTCTAGGTCATCTTCAACTTCTCTGATCCTGGAAATTAAAATTGTGGATATATTTAAATACGGTTTTAAGACATGTAAAAACTCCAGACTGATACAGCAGCTCTGCATAACTGAGTGTCTGTGGACTCTATAGGTGCACTAAATTTTGTACTTTGTATTTGATTGTGACAGTATTTTCCTTGTATCTCCTGCATGCATCTCAGTCTCATGCAGTCTTGATAGCACAAATGAAGAAATGTGGTCTAAATGGAGCTTTCGTGCTGTGTAACCTGTTTGAGAAATCTACCTCACTGTTTTAMAATGGCTTTTTTATTTTGCATGTTCATACTTAATCACACTGGAAAATGGAAAGCTGTTTGCATTTGAATGGTGTGCTTTGGCACTGTGTGATCAGCGCATGTACTAATGATTTCCTTTTATTTTTCTTCTTTCCTACTTTTTCCCTTTTTTTCCGTTCTTTCCACGTTTTGTACTGCTATCTCTATACTTTCCTCTGAATTTCTTTGCTTACTGTAGCAGCCCTTGCCTTTTCTCTTGCAGCAACAGCCCAGGCTCCAAGGATTATTACTGGGCCTGCGCCTGTTCTCCCACCAGCTGCCCTGCGTACCCCTACGCCAGCTGGCCCTACCATAATGCCTTTGATCAGACAAATACAAACCGCTGTCATGCCAAACGGAACTCCTCATCCCACCGCTGCAATAGTTCCACCCGGACCCGAGGCCGGTTTAATTTACACACCRTACGAATACCCCTACACGCTGGCACCAGCTACATCAATCCTTGAGTACCCTATTGAACCTAGTGGTGTATTAGGTAAGATCTTTGTATGTGGATGACTGCAGAATGTATTGCTCGTGCTTCTGTTGTGTTTGCAAGGTAGAGGTTCATCTTTGCAAAAGAAAAAAATCTGAACCAACAGCTTGCCTGAGGTATATCAAAACCACCTGGAAGAGCTGCTCAAGTGGTGCAGCTCCTTTAAGCATTTTAAATGTGTTTTGCGATYCTGAGTGTGTGTGCTTGGTTTGTATCAGTAAGTTTACTGAAAATAAAATCTGCATGTTTGTATGATATTAGATGGTAGATACATAGGCAAGGGGGAGTAAAGCTAAATACAAGTTGACATCTATCACATGTCATCTGGGCTCCCAGAATAACAAATTTGTTTGTATTCTCTTTAACATAAATTAACATCCAGCAATTTTTGGAAGCGAGGACTTCTTATTTTCCTATATTGTATTGGTAGCAAAGCTGGAGGGAGTGGAAAGGTCTCTGTTCAGTTGRAATTTTTGTTTCTTTTTTTGGTACGCAACTGATAAATCTCTTCTCAGTGTCAGAAAGCTCTAAATCATACTGTGAGCAGAAAATTATTTCAGTGAATGAATATAAAGCAAACCAAGTTCTGACCAAAGGATGATAAAATTAGCAACTTTACTGATGGCTTCTTTTATATAAATTGCATTGAAATGTCCATCATTCCTAATATTGCAGACCACTGACGTGTTGTGTGAAGGCAAGAATGATAAAGCAGCCGTGACAATTCAGTTAACTGGCTAATATGGAACAAGCAGTGCCAATAGTTTCTTCCTTCCCTGCCCTCTACAGAACCAAAATAATCTTTTCAGTTTGTTCTGAATTGCATATGACCTTGGTGCTGCATAATGTTGATTTTATGGGACTTTGATCTTAGTTTGTTCATTGGCAGTTATTGATTTACACAAATTCTAAACATCTCTCATGAACACTGGACAATAAGGTTCAAAGTCAATATTTTGTTGAAAGTATTGCAAAAATCAGTGTTTCACGTGACAAATACTTGGTGAGTTATCTGTATGTGTGCATGTTTCCACATTATATACAGTAAAAAAGAAAATGTATTTCAGATTTCTGTCTTGCAGGATTTGTGAATCAATAACAAAAATTCTAGTAGGACAGAAGCATGCAGTACGTCTGTCAGTTTATGGTTTTGGGTCAGTTAACCCATAATCAAAATTCAGTGAACATATGATAACATTATCATTTATCAATTTCCCACAAATATTAAATATTCTCCCTAGCTACTCTATCCCCAGTCCTTGGGTCCACTTGTGGTACATCCTGGGGTAAAGTCACAGTTAGAGAGTTCATCAAAGTAGATGTGAGCTGTTAGTGGCAAAGCCCTCTCCTTAATTCAGTTAGTAGCAAGTAAAGAAATACATTCCAGAGTAATAGTTTATTACGATGCAGGGAACTTCGATTTCTCTCAGGATTTTCTATTAAGAGATAGGAGGGAAAAATTACTTCTAAAATGGCATCTGAAACCATTGCATACTCTTGGGCTTAGCTGTGTGAAGTGTATTGCCCAAAACAGACCTCACCACAAAAACGTTATTTAAAAAAGGAAAAGGGAACGGGGAGAAAAATCCCACACTCCCACTTAAGCTGCTTAGAATCGATAACTCTTAGTACATCTGCTGAATTATCTGAGCAATTACGTTAAGTTAATTGAATTAAATTTGGTTTTCACTGAGTTTTATTTTGTCATATGCTCATACCCATTTATAGTATTTCGTCCATTTTTGTGGTGGACCTTTAAAACGTTTTAAAATAATTCTGTTAACAATGGCAGAAAAGTGCATCCCTATCAGTATTTTGGGGGATGTTGGTGCTGAGATCAAATTTTAGTTGGTGACTAACTTTTAATTCCCTTCCTTTTATCTTCAGGTATGGCTTTCCCAACGAAAGGCTAAGAATTCAAGAACGGTCTTAACTGATCCTTCATCAGATCTGAATTTTAACAAATGCTTAGTTTCAGCAGCCTTGAAAAAAAGCTTGGCCTAGCAGTCAGTGACTTACTTGCACTTTTTTGCACATAGATTTAAAATAAAATAGTGCTATTAATTTGGATTAGGTYCTTTTATTACAGAGTAGCTGTAATTTATGAGTGTATAGTGGTATACTGACTGCTAAGTGTTCTATATAGTGTTTGCTTTACTAATCACCTAATTCATTGCAGTTCATACTTATTGACTTAAAGTTTAAAAATCACAATCTTTAGGCTTGAAGAATTGCTTTAAAACTTTTTTTTTTGTGGTAGAACTGGAAGTGATCTTAAGGTTAGCAAATAATTGTCAGTATTAAAGATGGCATTATTTAAAATAGTCCTGCTGCAAGAAAGGCACTTCAGTGAATATGTGACTAGTAAAGCTTAAATGTGCTTGGGTCTAATAGATTTCATGAAATACTGTAATTTTGGGATTGTAAATGAATGGATTAAACAGGTTAAGGCCAGGATGTTTAAAATAAATGCAATATTAATCTGCACAGATAAACTTCGTTTTAAGATTAAGATTTGAAACTACTGTGCCTTAACTTGTTGCTTTTCTTAAAATGAACTTTTGTAGTTAATGATCATTTAAATCCATTTTGATAAACCTGCTGTTAATGTTTTCTGTGAATGTTTTCTAACTTTGTCTTGGTAATTGCAATTTAACTAGGTGCGGTGGCTACTAAAGTTCGAAGGCACGATATGCGTGTCCATCCTTACCAAAGGATTGTGACCGCAGACCGAGGTTAGTTTAGTTCTGCAGTTCTTGTTTGTAAGAAGTGCTTTGAGTGTACATGAAATTTGCAACACCACAGCTGGTTAACCAAATACCCTATCTTGACCCATTCATGATTTTTTCTCAGAAACCTGGACAGTTAATATTTTAAAGCTTTGGGAATGCTTGCGCTTTTAAAAAGAATTTCCTAGCTTGGCTTTCCCAGCTCAATTAAAAAGATATACTTTGATATATTTAACAGAAATTCTGTAACTGATTCCGTTTTAAAAATGAAACATCTGTATGCATCAGGAAACRCTATGAAATCAGTGCTGCAATAATTAATTTGGTCATGTTCCCCTGTTMCCCCCACCAATTTGTTCTTTTAATTGGTGTGGAAATATCAGATTGGTGTTGCAAAATAAAATGAATGGATGGTTGCTTAATGAGAAAGAAGTAAAGGAATAAATGCCTCCTGTCTGTGTCTGGAGAAATCTGAAGATTTAGATTCCTTTTTTTTCCAATAAACTTTTGAGCCACTGTACTGTATATTATGAGGAGGATGCATGTTCTCAGATACCTAACTGAATTCAGAAAGGTAAGGGCTGTGAAGATAACTTAAAAAGTTGTTTGAGTTTGAATTCGTAGGGATAGGGGAAGGGAGGGTGTTTTGGTTGGTTTGTTGKTTTTTTTTGTTTTTTKKTTTTKGKTTTKGTTTTTTTTTTCCAAAATCTATTTCTTGATATTTGCCTTTTGCTGCTAAAATGTGTAACCTGAAGGAGAAACATCTTTTGAAGACCTGTTGGTGAGATGACATCCAATATTTGGGCATCTCTCTTTAACCCTTGAATGGAAAGTAAATCTTCATTTTTCTCCTGTTCCTCAAGTGTCATGCCTTTGGACCCCTGAATGAAATGTTTAACTTTATTGAGAAAACTGATATTTTCGGTTTATTGACATTGACTTGGAAGCAGTGTAGGGGATGAATTCTTACCCTATTCCCACTGCTGGCTCACTGTGGGTTTCAGCAAGTCATTTAATCTCTCTGTGTCAAATAAGGATAATAATACTTCCCTACCTCACAGGGGTGTTSTGGGGGTTCTTGTTCTGTGCAGGGCTTTGAGCATGCAAAGCATTATGTGCCAAGTATTATTATTCTGCCCTTATCCAAATCAGTACTGTGCAGGTTTCCATGATATTGTAATATTCAAAAGCCAAATTCCAGTGACAGGTCTGACATCTCCTAACATTGACTGCACTTGACTTCTCACAACCTTCCATAAATTAACTACAAGAGAGAATACAGATTCTGGTCAATACAGTAAAAAGGGCCCTTCTGGATTCTTGGTGTATTTGTGTAACACTTTTATCTTTGATAYGATCTTGGGCTTTACAGAAACTATAAAGCTGATAGAAGACACTACTTCAGTTTTCTGTAAGATAGCTTTGTATTGCTGCACACRCTTTGCAGCCCATTGGGTTGTTCTTATTTCTTAAGAACTCTTCAATGGGGCAATAGATATAATCAGTAGAACGCCATAGCCCATGTTTATAAAAGAAAAAAGGAAATAGGTTTTAAGATTTTCTGGTTTTTTTGTATCACACTCAAGAGTAATAGGTGTGAGTATTTGGTTTGTCTTTGAAAATTTGACCTGATGTTGCAAAAATCAGTTTTTTGCTAATGGTCTTTTGTGACTTGCAGTGGTAGTTTCAGGTGACAGATGTGGCTGCCTTTTTGTGTGATTAGATATTTACCTGAGACAACTAGTAAATACACTGATAAAGTGGGGATAGGGGTGTTTTCATGAAGAAAATACCAGTTTGTAGTTATCATTGTAATTTTGCTCTGCATAGATTTTAAATGTTTTTTAAGGGGCCTGGATGTTTTATCTGGGTCACTTAAAATTAATTTAAATCAATTATTGGTATAATTCACCTTCCTTTTAAAATGCAGCCATTTTCTGATAGAACAGAGTTAATCTCTGGCAATACTGGAAACYCACTATCATAAGTACATAAATAAATATACACCTTTTTCCTGTGGAGTAAGTCATGCATACCTCTCTTTTTCTTAGGAAAATCATGTTGATATTTCAGGTGAACATTATTTTGAAGTCTTATCTAAATAATCGCAGTGTATATTATGAAACTCACACAATGTTAATTTTACAATTGAACTTCATTGTGTTTTGAATTTTAAATCCTAGGTTATCACTGCACAGATTTAAAAGTTTCACAAAAGGTTTTGGAGACCTTTGTTCAGTAATAAAAATTTCTTTTCATGTACTAAAATTATATTGTAGAATTAAAATACTATCCGTATTTGCCATATTCACCTACTTGGTTATTCTGTCACTGAGATATTTCTGTAGCTATAGCCATGAAAATCAATGTCAGCAAACCGAAATACTTTTTTTTTTCAATGCAGAAAATTTTTTACATAGTTAAATGTCACTAAATCTATCACATTCATTGGGTCTAAAGTTTATTTTCTTTTTTTTTTAATTCTAAATTTACTTTCAGATGACTTTGTAGTACTACTGCATTCACTTTTAAAGTAGTTTTTTATTCTTTTCATAGTTTTGGTTTTTTGTTGGGGTTTGKTTTTTTTTTCCAGAGATAAGCACTGCATTTAAAGCAAGAATCCCCAAATGTGTAAATGTTTTACAACTAAGCATGTAGAATTGGTGAAGGGTTGGAAAATATAGCTCACTTTAACTCAGAATAAACCCCCAGTTTATAAATAATACAAAATTGAATTTTTTCATATAACAGAGAGACTGACTGATTTAATTGTAATAAACTGTAAGTGGTGTTGCACAGTTGACAAACCTGTGTGTACTGTAGAAGGCCAGAGACTTGGCAGAGGATGTATCACAGGTGTACTGGTATTTTTTAAAGGTAGCTTGCTTTGATTTTAAACTCCACAAGAAATATTAATGCTGAGAATTTTATCAAATTTTTTATCCACACCAATTTTCACATAATTTATATATAAATTTTAATACCATTTAATCAAAATTGTAATGAGTATCAAAACGCTTTAAGAGTCTGTTTCTAGTATACCTGTAAAGTGGTAAGATTGTGCCACAGAAAATATTTATTTTTATTTTTTCTTTTTGAAACAGCTGTCTTAATTTAAATAAAATCCCATTTAGCATGATTCTGAATAAAAAATCAGGGAGTATTTGGTCTCATTTATGTTACAGTAGTAATTTTTTGTASTGTTATGAACTGTACCCTAAATGATAGGCCATTTTTATTATGTGAAAGTAAAGGAAACCACAAGAAAGACAGTTAAAATGATGGTATCTGTGACTATTACACCTACTGGACTTCATTTTATGTAATGGCACAAAATCTGACTTTGCACTGAATACCTTTCTCACTTTCATCTCCTCTGCCTTAGTCAAAATGGCAACAGTACAGAAACTTTTATCAACCTCAGAATTTATTAGCTCTAATTAAGCTGTTGAATGAGTCTTAAAAAAAAATTTAAAAAATCATACTACTGTTAAGTGGACCAAGTTTGGTGAAGGAGAATGCAAGAGAATGATTAAAGAAGGAATAGCTCAAGAACATTGGGAATGATAACTTTCCACTTGAGAACTTTTTTATGTTTTACTGTAATTTGTTTGTGGTTTTGGGTTTTTTTTGTTTTTGTTTTGTTTTGTTGGTTTTTTCTTTTTTCCTTTTTTTGCAAAAGAAAATAGTATTTACAGGTGGCTTCTTTTAAAATATAAAAATATAAAGCAGGAATGTATATGAAATGTCAGATTTTATTGTATTTGCAGAGTATTAGCTTTGAAAATGAATAAAGAGAGCTGTTTGTAGTTTTAAAATGCCTTATTAGTATCAATTAGATATTTTCTCTATTTTTTCATGTACTTAGAGCTTTTTAAGTATAGACTTTAAAATGGCAGGACTTTTACAGTGTTTACATGCAAGTGCATTTTATAAGTGTCCTATATGTGTAAAATAGTATTTCAAATGGGAAAATGCTGGCTATAGTAGCAGGCTGAGCGTTTTCCTGGTTTCCACGATGATGCCTAYGTTGCTAGACTACAGTTTAGTACTGCTTTGTATCATGAGGCCAAGAAATTCCATGTTGTTTGTAAATAGAATAAATGAAAGGCAATAAAAAATTTATTGAACAAAAACCCTTTGTTTGGCCCATAGTTTGTTGAACCAAATTGTTTCTCTAAGTCCAGAATTCCTTAGATGACTCCATTCTTTTAACAACCAGTTATTAATAATCACATCCATCATTAATAGTTGCTTTAATGCTTGCACTTGGGGAGGTACTAATGCTTAATAGCAGTCAGATACTGATGCTGTGCACTGACTGTTGTTCCAGAAATCTTCTACCCAGTTCAAAAACTGTTCATTGTTTTTTGTTTTCCAATTTCCTTCGTCGACTGCTACTAACCATTAGTCGTTAGTCATATTTTATCTCTATTTCTCCTGTTAACCGGTTTTGTGGGAGTGGGCTTCTCCTTCACGTGTCCAAATCATGATGGAGGGCTGTCATGATTTTATTGCATTCTGTAGATGGTGTCGATCAGTATGTCAGAATTAAACATGCTTGTTTTTTTTTATTAGTTGTGATTAGTTTTCATGTTGTCATTAAGCCGTCACTAGCTGGAACTAATCTCTTCTCTATCTTTTCTTTCTTTTTTTTGTTTT